TTCTATTATTTGCTACTTTAGTTTGTGTAGACATTTGCAATAAATCAACATATTTTATATGCAGCTAATAAATATAAACATCTTTTAGTATCATTTATATATTTCCCTTAACATATATTTATTACAATGGGAATATGAAAAAGAGGGAAGAGTAGGACCAAATAAGAACCCCTTCCATGTGACACACAGAAGACAGAATTAACCAGATATGTCACAGTGGTTTGATGAAAAACATCGGGGCACAAAGGTTCTGGCAAGAAACCTAGCTATCAGTTTCAATGTGACAACTGCGTGACTGAGAGGAGCAAAGCTTCATACATTACATTGTGCCTTGCTGTCTCCTATAGGGCAAAGAGGCCCGTGGTGGGAAGGGGTTAGGGGGCATACACTGCTAATGCTTTGCGAGGAGTCTTATGCTGGTAGCAGGTCTGTCAAGTGGTTGTGCACCACAAAATCCATTTACTCAACAAACACTCAGCAAGCACCTACTTTATTGGGAGCTGAAATCATAAAACAGAACACATACTGGCCAGACTTCGAGAAATTCAAAATTCTGGCTGGGGAAATATAGTATATAATAAACAATTATAGTGCAATGGCATATGTGAGAGTATATTCTCCACTAGAAAATGAGGTCCTAGAGAACAGGGATAGTGCCCAATTCATCACTGTGACCCCCTTGCATGGAAAGAACCCAGATGATGGGCTGGGGATGTGGCTCAAGTGGTAGCGCGCTCGCCTGGCATGCATGCGGCCCGGGTTCGATCCTCAGCACCACATACAAAGATGTTGTGTCCGCCGAAAACTAAAAAATAAATATTAAAATTCTCTCTCTCCCTCTTTCTCACTCTCTCACTCTTTCTTTAAAAAAAAAAAAAAAAGAACCCAGATGATGGTAAGCAGAGAGTAAATGTCTGGTCTTCTGTATAAAGTGCACAGGCATGCACTGTGGGAACCCAGGAGCAAGAGGCACTCTCTCTATCTAGAAGCTCAGGGAAGATTCCACTACAAAAGGTATACAGCATATGAGCTAAGTCTTACAAATTGAGCAGCCAGGCAATGGAGGACAAAACCATTCTGTCCAGGGACCAGCATGCCCTAAAGCAGAAACGTACAAAAGACTACATTATTTATTCAAGGAATGTAAAAGCTTTACTATTTTAGAACCTGGAATATAATGAACTCAGCAAGACAGAAGACTATCGAGATCGGGACCACAGCAAAAAGGATTTTTAGGCTATGCTGAAAAATTTGAATTTCTATGAACAACCTTTAAAGAATTCTCTGCATAGCATGACAAGGGATTTGTGTTTCAGGAAGCTCATGCTAGCAGTATGGAAAGGTATGACACAAAAGCAAGGGGAAATTCTTTGGCATCCCCTTCAACCATCTATTATAATGGTTCCCAACCACTATAATTTTGCTCTCCAGTGTGTAGATATAATTTTGGTAGTAGATGGGAATATGAATGAGGTTGTGCTTTTGAATTGTGTGGGCAGAGGCCAGAAATACTGCTAAACATCCTACAGAATAACTCTTTATAAACATCAGTATCCATTAACCTTCCCACTCCTTACTCTTAAGCCCTTTATCACAATCAGCCTATAAATCATCTGGTTGAGTCTGAAGTGAATCTTGTAGGATTCTGAGGAACTCACCTGAGAGTGCAGACAGGGTTCGCTCAGCTGTCCCTCGGAGGGTCTCCCCAGGCTGCCACTCTGTCTGGGGCAGCATCCAAACATCCTCATCTCCAAGCTTCTCTCTGACTAACAGAATAAGGTTCCTGTCTAGCTTCCGGTGCAATGAGGTTCGGTCATTTTTTTTATCAGCTTCTATGAAGAAAAGGGGGTGAGTAAAAGCAAGAAAGGCTGTGATCATCTGGGACCAATGAGCTTTGAGTTTTAAAGTTTTTCTTTAAGGGAGTGTCATAATCCTTTCTCTCAAAGAAATTATAGCCAAATTTCCCCTCTGACCCATCTCTTTAATTCTAATTCTGACCTCTTTCAGGGTATAGTCTCATACTCTTAAGGAAACTGAAAAGTAAAAAAAGGAAACCAAGAGTTGAACTTATCTAAAAAGTAAAACATACTCTGAGCCTTTAAAAAAGAAGCAACAACCATAACTCAAACACAACTGCTTAATTCAACTTAACACTATTACTAATCTAACTAACCCACACTTTCTCTGTTCTTCAGCCTGCATCTGTAAAACAAGGACAACAGAACCCCCTTCCATAAAGGTGATTTCCAGGGCTGGGGCTGGGGCTCAGTGGCAGAGTGCTTGCCTAGCATGTGTGAGGCACTGGGTTTGATCCTTAGCACCACATACAAAAAAATAAACAAATAAAATAAAGGCATGCTGACTACAAAAAAAAAAAAAATTAAAGAGCAATTTCCAATAAAACACAGAACTAGAAGAAAAAGGCCTACTTTAAACCACTCTCTGTCCTAGAATGGAAGTTAAACTCAGACTACATTCATAAAGCTTAACTAAGAGAAAAGGCTATCCCAACATTCTTACCCACCCCCCACTCAAAAATAACATGGGCCTTTTAAAAACCATATTAGGGTAGATGTGAGGAATTGGAAAAAGAATTTATTTTTCTCAAAGTTGTTTTGTAACTTAAAATTGTTAGGTCGGTGCACACCTGTAATCCTAGCAGCTCAGAAGGCTGAGGTAGGAGGATCATGAGTTCAAAGCCAGCTTCCGCAACTCATCGAGGCCCTAAGCAACTCAGTGAGACCCAATCTCTAAGTAAATTACAAAAAAGGGCTGAGGATATGGCTCAGTGATTAAGAGCCCTGAGTTCAATCCCTGGTACCAAAAAAAAAAAAAAAAAATTTTTTGTTTGTTAGTTAAAACACAAAGCAGAGGCTAAGTAATTGTCCTATATTTGGGAACCAGAATACCCCTTTCACTTCTTTTTTTAGATTAAAAAGATCATACCTGTTATCCGAGCTCCAGGTTTGAACTGTAGGAATTTCTGCTCCCACATATCTTCCAAATCTTGCACAAGCAATATATCCTTTTCATCTTGCTCTTCATCATAAAGATCAGCTTTCTTCTTTGCCAGTCGCTGGGCTTCATCTAAAGCACGAAGCTCATGGTCTGAATATAGGCTGTTTTCTATCTCTATCTAGGAAAATTAAAAAGACAAACAAAACTAGGAGAATATAACAAAGCTATAGCATCCTTGATAGACTCAGAAGTTTATCACTTAATATTACTAGACATACAATTAAAACACTGAACAGAGAGAAAACAGAGACAAAGAAAAAAGGTCACCTGCACTTAAGCATAAGTTACATTTGCCAAAATGTCAGAATGTGATTGGAGATCAAAACTGCTACAAAGAACAAAGGAATGGGACAGGCATTGCCTGCCTATTTACCATGCTCCAGTCATAGTAGTAGTCCTTGATCATCACCTTATTCATCAAGGACATTCCTGCCTCAAGGACTTTACAGAAGTTGCCCCTTCTTCCTAGAGTGTTTTCCCTTGCTTTTTTCTCCTAGAAGAATTTCTACTCATTTGTATGATCTCGATTTAAATATCATTCTCTCAGAGAGACATTCCTTAGCTCACCCATAAAATAAAAATTTAGATGTCCCTGTGAAGCACTTTCATAGAACCGTTTTCCTTTAAAATATTTATCAGAATCTGCAAACAGTCATTTGATTATTTAATTATTGACTCCTCTCCCCTACTCCACTGAACTCAAGGTCTCTGATAACCAGAACTACTCCTGTCTTACTCACTACTGCATATCTGTTGAAAAACACATGTCTGATATATGCTACAAACATCTGTAGGGTATGAATATGCCAAGTGAGAAAATTAATAAATTTAGCAAAAAACACAGAAGAAAAGTTTAAAGCTATCAGTAACCTAAGACAAAACATCCCAGATTCTGGGGAAACTTAACACCCTTTAATCACTGTATGTGGAGATATAACATCTTCACAGCCACTACACTCAGCTTTTACCCATATTTCCTCACTTGCCCTTCACAGAAATAACCCGGTGAGGTCAAACAGAGCAGACGCTATCGCAGGCATCTCACAGATGTGCCCACTGTCTCCTATACTTCATTCTAAACACTCATCACATCACAAAGATTGTATCCCCTCCAGTCTATGAGTTCCTTTTAACAAGTACCGATTCTTGTTCGCGACCAGATCCCTACTGTTCTGAATGAACAAAAAAGAATGAATCTACAAAAAACTGCCCCAAGTGACAATAATAAGACCATCAAAAATAAAATATTTGTTAAATGCCCATTACATACCAACCCACCTTAATAAGATTTGTTTCATCCTGCAGACAAGTGTACGGAAGTTCAGGGTAGCGAAATGTCTTGATCAAAATCACACAGACTAAATGGTGCCAGAGTCAGGATCGAACCAAGGCCCGTGAGCCGTTATTACCTCCCCTTGCACCTGTGTCTCAATCCTACCTGCTGTAGCAGAGCTGCCATCTCTTCCTGCAATGGGGTCAGCGCCTTGGAAATGAGCGGTGGTCGCTGCAGACACAACGCGCCCAACAAACGCCATGGGGATTCCCTTTTTGAGGGTGCGGCCTCAAGGACCAGGCTGCGAGAACCCAGGCTACTTGCCCAGACCCTTTCGAACCTCCGCCAGCCCCCCGCCACACCTGACAGAGTCCGCCTAACGGACACCGCCATCTTTCTCCCTTCCCACAATGCATCGCGGCTCCAAGCGGAGTCCTCAACCAACCCCGTATTCCCATAAGGCAACGCGGATGGCAAGATCAGGAACAGTACTATCCCAAGAACTATTAGAACAAACCATTCCTATATGGCGGGTGGTGCAGGTGAAATTCTCATATTAGAACATTAAAAGGGGAAGCGAGTACCAGGTGAACATGCAATTGTAGTTTTCATAGAGCACTTAAATTTGAATAAAAATACTTAATGGGCCTTTTAGAGAGCAATCAGATGACTTTCCTTTCTTTTTTTTCTATGTCAGCCCCTCGACTTTCCTTTCTGTACTCTCCAGCACAGGCGCTCAAGGTGCTGGCGTCACTCCAGCTACGCCGGAAGCGGCCGACCGGAGCTGACTGGGGTCAATTCAAATCATGCAGGTTGTGAGAAACGCGGGGTCGAGGATCTTGCGGTCATGGGCGCTGACCCCGACGACCGGGTAAGAACGATTGCCTTCTGGAGCCTACGGCTGTCTTCAGGACTATTCTCCTGACAGTGTCCTATATGTTACTTGGGTTCCGGTGGCCGGTAGGCCGGGGCTTTTTTGAGCTTTCCTTCTCCGCAGGATTGTAGTCCGAGACCCATCCCGGACTGTCCACACCGGAGCCCAGGTACTGCAAGATGCGGCGGCCGAGCCGGAAGTTGAGGAGGTGGCTCCGAGCCACAAGAGCTTCAGGTGAGGGCCACTTCTGGTCCAACCCTTGGGAAATACGCACCCGTGCAGAGTCAGAAAACCAATGAATTCCCACTCTTTTCATTTGACTTCTGTGGGACCTTGTACAGATCTCTCTAAGTCTTATCTAAAGTGGGGGGTAATACTCAAGATTATGGAAATTATAAATGAGATGAGCTCTGGCACAAAGTAGCTTCACAGTGAACATTAGTTGGTTGAATGACTGAATGTCAGAATCTGTGTATAACAAATATGAGCTTTCTTAATCCTTTTGAAATGAATTTCATGTCAAATTAACAACCTCCCTCCTCAGACACAAAATGGGAAGAGTGGGGTGACACACTATGGAACAGATTATCCTGCATTTCTTGGAGCTGATTAAAGGTCCAGGGTGAGTTTTGTGTTCAGCCCTAGAAACTGGCACCTTGCTTCCCAGCAGTGCCACTACCTTTGTGTGCAGGGAGTGTACATGTCCACTTACTCTCACATCCAGGACAATGCTAATTGCTGGATATATAAAAGACCATTTCCCTCCTTAGTAGCATAGGGTCGTCCAAGAAAGGCATCTGTGCAAACGTTTTCAACATAATCTGATTAATAGTATAATGGAGTTAGAACTGGTTGGAAGTATGAAAGAATAAGTATCCACTCCCAAGAAAATCATGCAACATTATGGTAAGACAGTAAGCTTAGTGAATTGAATGGGAATTCAACTGGACAAGATAAAAGGGATCATTGTAAGCAAAGATAACAGTCTGTGAAAAGGATGCCTCAACCTTCCAAATAACTGGCATTACACTTGTGCACTACCATGCCTGTCATGGTAAAGATATTTTTCTGTCACCCTAGAGATTTCATAGTCTCCACGGCAGACAGTAAGGAGCTGCTGAAAGGATTTAAACCAAGAATCTGTTGCAATCATTCATTCAACAATGCCAGGCACTATTCAAAGTGTTGGGGTTATAACCCTGATCAAACAAGCAGGGCTTCTTTTTTTTTTTTTTTTTTTAGCCCTGCTTCTGTGCCAGTTAAATTTTAGTGGGCAGGATACAGTAAATAGAAAATAAGTAAAATATGGGAGTTATAACAGTGGGAGGCAGGGATACCAGCAGGCATGTACAACAACATTCTGTAGGGCTCACAGGCCATCTCTAGAACTTTAGCTTTTACTGAGATGGAAAGCTACTGGGGAGTTGAGTAGATGGCTGACATGATCTTGCTTACTTTTTAAAGAGAGTCTATTTGCTATGTTGATATTAAATCACAGAGAGCAAGGATGGAAGCTGGAAGAAATCTTCCAAGGAGTTAGAATAATAAATAAAAATAAATCAGGCAAGAAACAATGGAGGTTTGGGCCATGGAGATGGCTATGGAAGTAACATAAATAGACTGATTTGTTAATATAAGGTGTGAGAAAAAGAAGAGAGTGAAGAAATACTCCAAATTTGGGGGCCTAAACAACTGGAAAGATGGAGTTTTTATTTTATTAATATGGGGAGGTCTGCATGAGTTTAGGTTTGGCTGGTTAAATTTGAGATGCCTAGTCACTAAATGGAGATATAATGAAGTCTGTTAGAGATTAGAGAGATGTAAAAGAACCAGCAAGAGACAAGGAACCTCCAGAGAGGTAGTAAGAAAACCAAGAAAGTTTTTGTTGTTGTTGTTTTTCGTTTGTTTGTTTTTAGTGTAGTCAAATGGGAAATCAGTGTGTCAAACACACTGATATGATAGGTGGTTGAAACAATGTCAAGATTGCACATTGGATTCAAGTGTGGAGGTGGCTGGTGACCTTGATTAGAGCATGTTTAGTGGAGTGGTAGAGGCTACTGTCTGATTAGAGTGGGTGCAAGGAGAATAGAAGACAGGAAAAAAATGAATATAGTTAGTTCCTTAAGGAGGCTTTGCTGTAAGAGGAAGTAAAATAATGGGCAGCTCAAGGAATCTTTGGGTTCAAGAGGTTTGGGTTTTTCCTTAGATTTTAGATATGACAGTATGTTTTGCTGCTAGAATGATGCATAGAGAAGGGAAAGAATGAATACTGAAGTGGAACATTGCTGGAGCACTGTCCTTGAGAGACTAAAAGGCAAGTGGAACATGGTAATGGGATAGACAGCAAAGGCTGTGGGCACAGGTGTTTGGTAGTGGGAGCCAGAAGAAATTCTGATTGCTGCTCTTTCTCTGTAGAGGTCATCAGCTGGCATTGAGGAAACAGGAAGGAGTTGGAGGTTTAGGGAGACAAAAGAAGGAATAAAAGAGTCATCCAGAAAAATTGAAGGGTAATTGGACTAGGGATGATTGCCAGGCAGTGCTGAGTGTCCACCTGATGCTAGAAGTCATTCATATAGGGGCGTGATTCTCAATGGGGATTGATTTTGCCCTCAGAGGACTTTTTTGCAATGTTTGACAACATCTTTGGTTATCAAAACTTGGGGACAGTATTTAGTGGGTAGAGGCCAGGGATGCTGCTAAATACCCCACAATTCACAGGGCAGCCTCCTAAAACAAAGAATTATCTTGCCCAACTGTCAATAGTGCTGAGGTTCAGAAGCCCTGGTAGAGAGGTAAGTCAGCATTGCTATGTATTTGCACAGCTCAGAATGACTGGCAAGGTGGATTTGACCACAGTTAAGGATTTGCTAGGAGAATACAATGAAGTAAGAGAAAACAGCATCAAGAGTGTCTGCAAGGGAGTAATTGTCAGAAATTGGCCACAAGATTTAGTCTAGGTGAGGAGAAAAGTGGGGACATGAGGAGTGTGAGGGACAATGGAAGGCTGGTAGAGTTATTGGATTGTAAGTCCTTGTGAGATTGAAAGATTCCAGAGTGAAGACCGCAGGGGAAGTGAGTGGGTGTGTCAGGAGGTGGTTGCCAGAGAGTATAGTATTTGAAACCAAAGTTATGGTGGAGTTACAAGTATTGGTAATGACAAAGGTTAGGTATGACCAGGGCAGTAAGAAGCCAAACTAGAACAGAAGACATGATCACTGAAGGAAACAATGTTTAGAAATAGAAGCCAACAGGAGTTTTGTTAAGGACCACTAAGCCAGGAGCTGTAGTCTTTGCCTTTTTCTACATTTGTTTGCATTTTTAAAAAATTATCTCTGGCAGCAGTTACAAAATGGTTTGCCTTTCTACGTTTTCCTGGTGTGAGTGTAAATAGAAAGAGGTGAGCAACCAGTACCAAAAAGCTTTGTCTTTTATGTTTAGGGACTTCCTTAGATAAACTTCTTGTTTGTTTACACATTGAACCTGGGAGGTTTAAAGGCCTGATCTTGCCTATGTTTTCAATTAAATGGCTCAACATCTGAATCCTTCCTAGTTCCAAAACCATACTATCTACAAAAGGCATTACACTGCTTACACTCAGACTTAGTAGGTTTGTGTTTGTTGACCCCCAAGTCAACAGGGGGTAATTATCAGTAGGGAAATGGTTATCATTTCTTCCCCCCGCCACCCATAGTACAAGGATTGAACCCAGGGTCATTTTACCACTGAACCACATACCCAGCCCTTTTTTACTTTTAGATAGTCTCACTAAGTTGCCCAGGCTGGCCTTGAACCTACAGTGGTCCTGCCTAATTCCCCGAAGCCAGTGGGATTACAGGTGGGTGCCATCACGCTACACCCAGCTGAAATGATCATCTTATAAATGTTAATGTCATCTACAAGATTCACCCAATTTCCATCCCAGCATATAGACTGATAAGCCAAAGCATGCGGAGGTTCTAAATCATCTCTAAGATCAGACCCACAGGAAAGAATACACTTGTAACTAATGTGCTATTGTTTTGTTTTGTTTTTGAACATTTCTCTTGGAAAGCCAGTAGGGCTGAGGGAGAGTGGCAGAGTTCATTGTAGTAAAAGTCGAGCATGGCTGTGTGGAGTACACACATGAGTTTGATGTGAGTGTACGGGCAGAGTAGAACAGTGGGTTTTCTCCCATCTGCAATACTGAATGACATCCATATGTGTTTAAATTGTGAAAAGCACAACTTTGTGAGTAAAACTCGCAACTAAAGCAGATCTCCTAGGTCCACCGCCTGACTTCTCTTGCCGACCTTATGCTCCTGTTTGTACCTGAGCTTCTCCATCTGAAAATAAAAGAGTACTTACCCAAAGAAAACTAGAAAATAGATCAGGCAAAGCCAGAAGGTCTTGAACTCAACCACAATGTCTAGGCCAGTGCTCCCAACCCTTAGTGCACATCTGCGTCAACTGGAGTATGTGTAAATAGGTTCCCAGGCCCCATCCTTAAGTCTGGGTGGCATTAAGCATTTGGATGCACCCAGGGGACTCTGCTATTCAGTCTACATTGAGAGTCGCTGGTCTGGAGTTGGGGTTAGCAAATTATGGCCAATTGTCTGTTTTAGTAAATGAAGTTTATTAATTTGCTGTTGTATATGGCTGCTTATGTGATAGCATGACAGAGTTTAGTAGTTGTGACAGAAGCCAGGCATGGTGGTACACACCTATAATCCCAGCTATTCAAGAGGCTGAGGCAGGAGGATCTCAAGCTATAGGCAACCTGGACAACTTAGCAAGAGCCTATCTCAAAATAATTTTTTTTTCCTTGGAACCAGGGATTGAACCTAGGGGCTTAACCACTGAGTCACAGCCCCATCCCTTTTTTTCATTTTGAAGCAAGTTCTCACTAAGTTGCCCAGGGCCTTGCTGATTTACTGGTCTCAAACTTGCAATCCTCCTACTCAGCCTCCTGAGTTGCTGGGATTACAGGCATGTGCCGTCACACCTGATTCCAAAATAAAATTTTAAAAGGGCTGGGGATGTAGCTCAGTAGTAGAACACTTGCCTAGGGTACGCAAGACACCAGGTTTTATCCCCAGTACCATAAATAAATAAATAACCCCCTTGGCCTGCCAAACATAAAATATTTTTATCTGTCCCTTATGTGCTAATGTCTATAATTCTAGGGGATACTTGGTTGTAGTTGGACACAATACCTTTTTTTTTTTTTTTTCATGTGGTGCTGAGGATCAAACCTACGGCCTCGCACATGCTAGGTGAGCATTTTGTTGCTGAGCCACAACCCTAGCCTGTGGATTTTTTTAATAATAATGATGAATGTTAAAATTTCTTTATCTCATTTTTATAAAGTATAGATAAGATATTGTTGGGTTGATGAAACAAGAAACAGAAGTTTGACTGTTTTTGAATTGCAGAAAAAGTAGTCCATAAAGGACTTGAAAACAATAATATAATTATGCTACCAGAGACAAGAGGAGGTAAGGAGTATCAATTAAATTTCCTTTTCTTATAGTAGAAAGTTACTCCATATGTCTGAGGTCAACAAGCTGAGAAATAGCCCCAGGCTGGGGATGAAACTTGGTGGTAGAGTGCTCAGCTAGTACTTGTGAGACCTTGGGTGATCCCCAGCATTGCAAAAAAACCTAAGAAGTACTGTGTTCACAAATATTGGAAGAATTGAAAAGGAATGGTCGGGGCAGCTGTCTTCAGAATAGGATAGGGCTGTTGTCTTTCATCTGGGTTCATCTGTGCCATTTGATTTATTAATTTCTTTAACCATGTGATGTATTTCTTTGATTTAAAAAAATCAGGGCAATTTTAAATAAAATGTTTTTTCTACTTGCAGCATTTACCCTCCAGTTCCCGGCCAGGAGAGTTCTCTGAGATGGGCAGGAAAGAAATTTGAGGAGATCCCAATCGCACATATTAAAGCATCCTACAACAAGTAGGTGGGAAGGGAAGCTGTTCCACCCCTTGTCAGGTCTGGGTACTGTTGATGATGCTAGAGCTGGGGTTCCCCAGGCAAATACCTCTTATTTGGGGAAAACAACTTTGTCTTTACAAAATTTCCTTAAGTTTTAAGGAAATATACAATCTCTTTGCCTTCTTGGGAATAATATTTCCTGGTCCTGCTTAAAGGTGGTTGGAGGGAATATATTAGGGACGATGGTTCCACTAATATGGTGGTGCACACCTATAATCCCAGCTATTCAAGAGGCTGAGGCAGAAGGATCTCAAGCTGAGTACTAGGGAATGGGGTGGATGAAATATGAATAAGAGAGACTTATAAATACATTATTAATAAACTAACCCTTATATAAAACTTCAAATACATGCTCCCCCTTTAATGTTTGGGCCACTATGCACTGACTCTTGCCTTGTAGGGGCTACCTGCAAATAGTAAATTCAGAGTGACAAGACTGGTGTTCTTGTGTGGCATATAAACAGATGTCCAAGGTGTTTGGTCATGTGTGGACTATAGAAACATTGCTGGCATTAGTGACAACCTCACAGATCAGGCCCTCACTTGGAAATCTGTATTTGGTCACAGCCTGACCACCAGGCAGCTTAAAGAACAGTACAGGAGACTGTAGTCACAGGCTAGAGTGTGTGGCAGAGGAAATGCTGTAGGATCCATCTGTTGGATAAACTTGAAATGAGAGCAACTGGATTTTTTTTCCTTTTCCCTCTCCCCGTCTCAAGCTATTAGGGACACAGGTTAGATCCCTGCTTTTGTATAAGTGTCTCTTTCCTCTTTCTCCTTCTCTTCCTCCTCCTCCTCCTCCCACCCCTAGATGTCTCAGTGGCATTTTCTACACATCACTGTTGAGGTCATCTCAGAAACAAGCAATGATCTTACCCTCCTGTTCAAGATAGAAAATGCAAGAAGCCCTGGCAGGGGGAATGGCAGAGCTGAGCCAGGCCAACAAGGAACTAAGCCCAAGGCCACCTCCCAGAGGAGGCCCATACAACGGCCTCTACTCCCCTCTGCTCTGAGCTCCCAGGCAGCTCTCCAGACCAGAAAATAGGGGGATGATTACTGAAAGGGAAACAGAAGGCATGTCTTAGGATTTCTAAAAGTGATTCTTAATTATAATTTAACATTTTAGAGATAATTAGGGAAAATGTTTCACTTATTTAAAATTACTTTTGATCACGGAATAGAGTGTCATAATAAGCATAAGAATTATCCAGTGTGACAATTTGATTATGACAATCATTTTGTGGGTTTTGTTTTAGTATTCCTTCTGTTTTAGATGTATGAACTGAAATATTTGCGGATGAAATGATAGGTGTGAGATTTGCTTCATAATAAGCCATTGGTGACGGGACTAGGAACAAGGTTTATAGGCAAAGCTAAATTGGAGATGAGTTGGTAATTGAAGCTGAGTGATGAGTCCCTGGTTCATGTACTCTTTTCACTTGTGTAGGGAAAGCATATTTGAAACTTTCAACGAAAACTCTTTAAAAATTCCCTGATAATTAAACATCTAATTTTTTAGGAGGTGGGGGAGACAAGGATATCACACCTAATTTAAATGGCAGCTACGGGGAAGGCACTTCCTCTGGTGATGCTTAACCACCCTCAGATTGTGGAGCTCTCTTCAGATCATATGACTTGTCAGTTTTCTATTAGGCTTAGGGGATGATTTGACCCTTCCTGATACTTCTTAAAGGGATTTAAAAAGCATTAAACTCAAGATAAAGCAAATGAATTTCTCTTTCTTACTCGGGCTTCTAAGGGCATAAGTTAGGTCTCTTTTATTTCCCTGAACAATAGTTACATCCATTTTGTCTCTTCTCCTTTACCCAGCACACAGATTCAGGTGGTATCTGCCATTCACCAGCCCCTGGCCTTTGCTTCCTGTGGCACTGAGGGGTTTCGGAATGCCAAGAAGGGCACAGGCATCGCAGCACAGACAGCGGGCATAGCTGCAGCAGCAGTAAGTACACATGCTCTGTGGTTCTGTCTCAGTGTTTCCACTCTTTGCATGACTGATCAGTGCAAAGGATTCTCCTTGGTCATTCAGAAGCAATGAGGAATTTGCAACCCTGTTAGATACCCTGACTCTGCAGGTAGCTTGAAGAGGTCTATGTGGCAGGGTTCTCTCTTTTTTTTTTTTAGCTTCATTAGAGGTAAAACACTTGGTTGTTTTAGGAGTAAGAGTCAGGGTGCTAAAGGCTAAAGAACCAAAGACCCTTCAATTTAAAGACCAGAAGAGTGAGGAAGGGATGATAGTACTCTACCTGGGGAACATGTGGCTTAATGAGGACTCACACCGTACCAGTTCCACCATGAAGTGTAGTAGATTTTTCTAGAAGCAAGTTGTCAGTGTGCTGCTATTGAACAACTACTATGTTCCAGGCAATTTTAATTTATTACCATAATTCTTCAAAAAGCCTTTAGTATTATCTAGTTTTTCAAGAGCCAGTTGAGAATCTGAATGTGTGTGACTTTAAAGCCAAGCTGCAGTTCAGTTCCCTGATTTGGAGCTAGATTGGCCTATGACCAAAACCTGCATACTTTCTGCTATAACAGAGGCCTTACAAATGAAAACCTTGACCTTCAACTAAAACTCGATATCCAAAGATGTTGATTGCTATATAATAATGATCATCAAAAATCAAAATGCTTTAAAGGTCAAGTAACAGTGGCTTCTGCATGGTAAGTTATGTGTGTTTTTTAGTTTCTAGAAAGAATTGCCTTTATAATCAAGAAAGCAAAATTTAACTCTAATTAATACTAATTAACACTTTTATTTTTCATGGTGCCAGCTCTTCGTACATGCTGGACAAGTGCTAGATCACTGAGCTAACCCCACCCCCCACCACCCCACCACCCCCGGCCAGCCCTAAATAACACTTTTTAAGTGGGTATTTAGAGTCAGTCTTGAAGTTCAGGGTGGTACCTCATGGTCTGAAATTCTACCTTTGTGGTAGAAGAACTGAATGATATTTCAAAATCTCCATAAGGTGGCGATACTATCCTGAGTGAAAAGATCAAAGTCAATTTAGTTCTTGGACTTTTGACATTCTGTGGTCTCTGCTGACTCTGTCCTCCACTGCAGCCATCTCTGCTTTGCTTCCTTCTCTGATTCTGCCCCACTTCTTACTTCTGTAGGTACCATTTCCCTCTTGCCCCACTATGGCAGTAGCAAGAGATTGGGGTGCAGTAACCCAGGCATTAACCACTTGCTGCTTCTTTCCAGAAAGCTACAGGAAAGGGTGTGACCCATATCCGAGTGGTGGTGAAAGGCCTCGGGCCAGGGCGCTGGGTAAGTAACCTCAGTTCTCCATGGTGCTTGAGCTTGCTTTAGTGAGAAAAATTGGGGCTTGAGAACTAGGTGTAGAGAAAGTGTAAAAGTCTCCGTTAGTGGATTCCACAACATGGCTTCAAGTTTCTTTCTGTTGTTCCTATAATTTACTGAGCCCCTCAAAACAAACTTAGATCATTTAGTTTAATTCATCAGACCCTTTTGAGTGACTACTCAATGGTTCCCCAGGGACCACCACAAACAGATCCCTAAGTGAGTGAGTACAGTGGTGAAGCATGTGCCCAGGGCACTGGATTCTGTAGAGGGGTCCCACACCCTGCAGGGACATCTCTCTGACTTTACAAGAATGAAGAGGCCTGTGTGTGTGTGGATATTCCAGGGAGAGGAAATTGCTCAGGTGAAGCTACAAAAGATCCTTAAGTTGCGCCAATGTTCTACAAGGAGACTTTGTCCTCAGTTTATAAAGCATAAGATGGGAAGTGGCCAGTGTGATTTGAGAAGCACACAGTATTGAGAGATTGGTTAAGGGATTTGGACAAGAGAGTTTTGTGAGAGTAGAATTAGATCAGGATAGTAGGTATCCCAAGCCCTGTTCTTCTCCCTTCCCTGCAGCACCCCATCCCTCTCAACCCAAGCCTGAGGTCCTGGGTCATCACTTCTGCGACCACACCAATCTCCTGTTTTCTGCTTCCAGTCTGCCATCAAAGGACTGACTATGGGGGGCCTGGAAGTGATCTCAATCACGGACAACACCCCCGTCCCACACAACGGTTGCCGCCCTAGGAAGGCTCGGAGGCTGTAATGGGAAGAAAGCCTGCTTGGAGCCTGACCTCAAGTCTTGCCTTCAGCTGGACCTTGTAGGAAGCTCCTGTCCAAGCTGCCTCCAGAAGAAGGCCTGCTGGAGACCCGTCTGGCTCTCACACAGCGAGCTCTGCCTCCGCATACCATGGCCTTTGCCGGCTCCTCCGACAGAGGGGAATGTGCCCCACAAGCAAGTTCAGACCTCTCCTGCATTGTCAGGGCTAACTTTAGCATGCCCACTAACTGTGAAGTCTTCTATCAGTATCCAGAGGTGGACAGCAAAAAGCTCTCCATCAGGAGCCAAATTACAAGTCACATGCTTCTCTCGTACACAGGAGAGCTGAAGGGGCAGCTGAGGCCCAGGCTTCAGTCTCTGCTTTGTGAAAATAAAAGACCATCTGTACCATCTGTAGCAATTGTGAGTTTTTACTCTTGGAGTGACAAACTAATCCCCACTTCCTCCTAAAAGGACTGTGAACTGAAGCAAGACCTTCAATGGAAGGGTTAAAGTGTAAATTTGAGCTGCTCTTTACCACACCCCTTCTTTGGTTTCACATATTTCTATTATAACCCTTCAACCAGGGTTTCCAGAGCTCATCTTACGAACTTTTCATACTAATGGCCTGTAATTTGACCCCAAATGGAAAGCATTTTTACTATCAATCCCTGGATTCTGACAGAAGATTTCAGTCAGTGTGCATGCTTAAAGTTAGCCCCAACAGTACAGGATGGTTGTCTGCAGTTCAGATATTCTGGTAGTAGACACAGATTCCCCACCCTCAAGTGGCAGTTCTTCATAGACTTTGACAGTCCCAGCACCCAGGAGGGAGTATATCAAAATGGAGAATGGTGGGCTTAGAAATGAGAGAATTTTCTAGAAACTAGGGAAGATGGCAGGATGGGCTGTCCTGTACGTTAAGCACTGCTCCCTGAAATGGCTTCCTAGAGGAGAAGGCACCGTGGAGTGTACCTCCATGCCCTGCCGGTTGAGCCCCAGAATCTGCCTGTACTCATCATAGTGAAATCCACAAATACCCCTTCACATTGGCAGGAAGAGCTGTTAGAGGTAGAGAAAGAGAAAGACTAGGAACCCAGATTGGAGCTTAGAAGGAAAAATGTTTCCCTTCTACCTTATCTTATTCCTCAGTAGGATCTATCAAGACTATCTCGAGACTAATGACTAAATAAATCTGACTGGAGGTTTCTACTTTTAAAGCCACTACCAAAAAGGAGTTATATTCTTTTTACCATAAAACTACATATAGGGGATGTGGGTGTAGATAGTAGAGCACTTGTTTAGAGTGTATGAAGCACAGAATTCAATCCCCGGCACTGAAGACAAAATAAATATATATATAAACATTTTAAACAACTGCTATACAGTAAAAGACGTGAGAATTTCTGTAGCAGTCATATCTATGAAAGTAAAAGTAAAGATTTCAAACACAATATGAGTAAGGTGGGGGGGGGTTGTTCCCTCTGATTTGTTATGGTTTGGCCTTTATTCAGGTGCATAGAGGGCCTAGAGCAGTTGAACGGTTATCAGTAAGGACCCCAAGCAGGACACAGTAGAAAAAGTTGAGGATAAAAACTTAATAGAGGCTCTTTGCAGAGGATTGGGCAGAATTGAGGGAAAAAGCAAAGGTTTTTCCCTTTGTTTTTGCACAAGGGAACACAGGATTAACATGAGCCCAACCTAGCATCCAGCCTGGACCTAAGGGGCAGGGTAAGAACAGTCACCAGAATGGGGCAGGTACCTGACAAGAACTGTGGTCACAGAAGAATGTCAAAGCTTGGCCTGGCAGAGAAGAAAAAGTGCCTCAACTGCTTCTGCCTGCTGGTCTCTGGTTGGGGTTCCCCTGGTGGCATGGTTTTTGGGGGCTCAGCCTTTCAAGCCACAGGATGAATCTAGAGGGCCCCATACAAATAGCAAATATAGGGGGTTCCTGTGCTTCCTAAAAGAGATCCTCCATACACTCGTTTGAGAAAGTGTCACTTTATTCACAAGAAAGCTTTGAAAAAAGGCTGCAAGCGTGGACAAGAAACAGGACCCAAAGGAATCAACGGTCTTGAACCCAGAAATAAGTCCCTGGCCCAAGCAAGTCCCAGAAGTCAGTTCTGCACAAACCTTCCTTTCCAAAGTACAGGGAAACACACTGCTTTCTGTAGTGATCTGTCAGTGCACACTTTTCTGGGCTCTTGAGTGGCCAACAAAACTGTGCTCTCTTCTCTCTTCAACTGTTAACCATTTCTTCTTGGCTTCTCAAAGTCTGGTCCCCAGCCCCTTGGGGAAACCAAGGCATCTCCCCTGAAGACTGGTCAAGCAAGGCAGTGTTTGTTTACCTAAAGTAAGGCTGCCATTCCCCTGCTACCACCAGCTCTCAGCAGTAGGTATGTCCTGAGAAAACTGTGGAATGTGTACTTGTGCTTCCCTCAGGCAAAGCCCCACATTTGGGTCCTGAGTGTTTGCACAAGCAGAGTGTTGGCATAAGCGTGTGTGACGCGCATCCTTGTTTCCTGGCAGCAGAACCCTGGATAATTTCTATGCGTATATTTGCAGTTTTTGCTTCTAAAGCTGGTGGCACAAGGCCTGGCTACACCAGAGATATCTGTCCTACACAGCATAAGTACGAATCCGATATCTTTCAGCATAGATGGGGTGTTTTTGCAGCCTTTTGCCAAGGCCATTACCTGACACTGAGATGTATGATCACTGCCAAAATAAGCCAGTTTAATACTAGAGTCCCTGGTTGCTACCAGAATGTCACTTGGCACTTAGGGAGAAATCACCTCCCTGCAACCTAGCTCTGAGGTGCCCATTTTTAAAAAATGTATATATATCTTCCCACAGGTTTCATTATTCATTTTATTTTATTTTTCATTTTAGAAGGACATGTTGCTTGTTAAATCTGGATACCATCAGCTCAATGTGATGGAGTGGTCATTGCCAAAAGCAAAAACTGTCCTTTCAGCCAAATTGAGCCAACAGAGGTTAGCCACAAACAGAGTCTGGGAACTGAGGGCACTGTGTATCACTACCATGCTGGAGTTCACGGTCTATGGAGACCAGGCAGGGATGCGGCTGAATTAGCATAAAGCTTAAAAGAGGCATAAATGTTAGAGTTTGACTGCAAGTGATCTCCATTTAAGGGAACAGAAGGGAAGACCTTTAGGAGAAAATGACATTCAAGGCAAACAGATGGGTCAATGCAAGGACTTGGGATTAGAAATTAGCAAAGTAGCACACACACCCAAGGTAAGGGAGGTGGAAGGTCATCAGGTTACTGGTTATGGCTTAGTTGGCATAACAGGGGTCATGAGGTTTAGACTAAATAGGGAGGTGAATAGAGGTCAAAATTTCCAGTCAACATGGAGGATACCAACACGTTCAACGGATGCAATGAAAAAGAGGGAGGCGAGTAGAAGGATATGGTTAGAAACTTGAGAATCAGAGTAAAAGTATGAAATAAAGTACATGAGTGTCAAAAATTCAGTTGAAATAAAACAGTTTTAAGTCAAGTATTACAAGATGTGGACCAAGAAAGTTATCATGCTGAAACCCAAAGTTGATGCCAGGGCAAGGGACAGAGAAGGTCTATGACATTCAACGTCCCTAAGCAAAGTGGAGTGTCCCAGAGTCTAGGAAGAAATACAGGAGTGTAAGAAGAGAGAAGGAAAAGACAATAGGAACTTCAGAGGCAAAGGAATGCTGCATGGAGGGGCAAAACAATGTCCAGGTGGTGGTGGTGAGGAGTGGGGAACATGCTGGTCACTGGGGATGTGCAAGTGGGCACTGTCAAGTGAGCAAAAGGAAGGAGCAAGGAGCCTGGGGAAATGACAGCCATGAGAGGCTCTCTTAGTAGGGTGAATGGAGGTAGGACCAAGGAGGCAAGGGAGAGAGGGTGAGAGTTCAGAAGGCAGGCTGTAAGCTGGAGCAGGGTGCCCACATAGAGACTGGGGGGTGGAGATGCTGACAGGTATATAACTAGAAGAGTCAAGCAGTGCCAGAAGGGCTAGTGCCAGAGCCTTGCCAGAGCCAGGATCTGGATTGGAATCTGTTTCTAACATCCAGTGTCAACTCTGCTTCTATATAGGAAGAAACAGAAGGTTCCACACCGTGAAAAGACACTTAATCTAACTAGTCATTACCATCGTTCCCCCAATGTAGACATGTTAATCAAAGTCACAGTGGGGATGAAACTGGCAAGGGAAAAGTAAAGAACAAGCGAAAGATGCCCCGTCTTTAAATGCCACCAGGAGGAAAGCTGGCAAAGGTGCGGGGTGGAGTGGTCATGGAGAGGAGGGTGCAGCATCTCAGAAGCCAAAGGGACCAGCACTTCAGGAAGAAAGAGAGTGGATGGCATATGCTGCCCAGAGGTCAGCTAGGCCCACTGTAGGACGAGCCCTGGAAGGTGCCCATGGAGTTCGGCAACGTGTATGGCAAGATTCACCAAAGGGTGAGAGCTTGGGAGACAATGGGAAGGGAGGAAATGGTGATGTGGGCCAAGAGTGGAGTCTCCAGGAAAGGGCATCCTGGCAACATGGAGTATGAGGGAATCATCACTTTCTTTTTGTGACATGGTGGACCACATGCTGGGGAGAAGCAGATCTTGGCAAGGTAGCAAGAGGCCAGGCCTTCAAGAGACAACACCAGGTGGGACCCCAGGGACAAGTATGCCCTTCATTAATTTGGGAACAGCAGCATCTGATATAAGCAACACGAACACCTCAACAGAAACAGAATGTCCTTGGAATCAGTACACAGGGAACATTTCTTGTACTTTCCAACATTTCATACAATTGTTCTCAAACAAAAGAGCTCTCCTCTCCTTCAGCTGTCATTGGGGGAAATGCGTATAACTAGAGCCTCTTCAGGGCGGAGGTTTGGCCATATCTGTCAACACATAAGATGCACAGATCTTTGGCTTCCTAATTCCTTTTTAAGAACATGTCCTCTAGCAAGAGGAGCACTATTCATCAAGAATTTTCTGCAAGATGGAAGCATTCCCTGTCTGTTCTGCCAGTGTAAAAGCTACCAGCCCCACGTGGCTCTTCCAATGTGGCTAGTGTGACCAAGGAACTGAATTTTCAGTGTTATCTAACTTGACTAAATTTAGATAGACATGTGACTGGTGGCTGCCATTTTGAATAGCACAGCTATAGATATATTTTCCAATGTGTACCAAGTATATAAAGACAGACACTGAGGCACTGTGACTAACAGCAAAGATTTGAACATCAATATCCATCAATAAGGGTTTAATGAAAGAAATTAGTACATCCACATGGAATGGAATCCCTGAAACAAGCCAAGATGTATTGCTAAGAGAAAAATGAAGAAGCAGACCTGAGCATGGTAGCACACACCTGTAATCCTAGCAACTTGGGAAGCTGAGGCAGTTGGATCACAAG